TGCCAGACCTGGCAGGGCAGGTGTGCGCGTGCTGCCACCCGCTCTCGGGCATCAGCGTGCGTGTACAGAGCGGTACGGGTTCAGTGCGGGGTGGGTAATGGTTTTCATGGATCTCTGGCTGTGGAATGCGTGTGCTGATCGGAGTGTTTTGTGTCGGCTCCGGGGTACACGGGTGGGTGTCGGCTCGGGTCTCAGCGGATGGCGTTGCACGAGCCCACAGGGGCGGAGGACAGGCAATCCTGTCTTCTGTTTACCCGAGAACTGGTGTGAACCTTTTTTTTTTAAACACGGGAATGGGTTTCGCGATGGGTGATGCCCTTCATAAAAGCCACTTGGTAACTCCTTCGGCTGCTTTTTTTCTTTATAAGCTCATGCTTTTCCAAACAGAACCTTTGCCTTGACCGCTGTCGCACCCCTCCTCCCCGCGGGCAGAGCGCGTTGGCGTGCGTTCGGCCCGGGGAGTGCGGGTTCCTGCTGTGGTGTGTGCGGGGGTCACACCCGTCCAGTCCTCTCCCTTCACAGACGAGTCTGGCCTGGCTCCAGGGTTCCGATGGTGGAGGTGTATGGTGACAGTCGGAGGCCTGGAAGAGCTCATGTTAGAAACCGGTCGTGATTTGGGTGCGTCGGATTTTGTGCGTATCTGAGGGGCCTTCAGCCCCCTCCCCCTGGAAGGCATTGACCTCTTCGCCTCCCGAAACCGCTGTTCTGTAAGATTTCTCAAAATGACTGTCGAAGTTTGCCGGTTGCTTTGGAAGACGAGCTCGTAGCACCCCTGGCTCCCTATATTCTTGCCAGCTCCTAAGTTACCTTTGCTTCTGGGGTTATAATAATTCATAAAATGACACTGCACAAGCGCTATTTTAAGTTCTGCAGTCGCTGTGCATCGGAACCTTCTGTAACTTTCGTCACACGACTTAGGGTAAGCAGTGTGTGCAAAACATACCAAGCACTGAATTTTTATAAGTTTGTTTTTTTTTTTTGACTATTTATCTTTTAGCTTGTCACTTATTTACTTGAAGGTTGAGGAACATATTTAGAAATCAATCTCTGTCCTAAATCCATAAACCTTTTCCCTCTATTGAAGAGGGGGAACAGTGAGCTTCAGCAAGAGGTTAATAATAATAATAACTGTACTAAGTTATTCAGGGTGATGTCTGTTGGTTGAATCAGTTTCAAACTCCAAGTGGAAGCACGGTGTAGACTTTTTTTTAAGGAGTATCAAAAAGTACTCAAATCTGTTGGTCTGCATTTGGCTACATTGGTCTGGTTTGTGTCACGTATTTACATGATGCTGAGGTTCTGTTTTAGCTCTTTCCTTTGTTCCAAGCGGAGTAAGGCAGAGTGCCTCTGAGATACTCCTCTACTTGGCTTTTCCTAAATTACAGACATTAAGTGGTGTTTGTGTCTAAAAGGCTGTTTGTTCCAAAGGCATTTAGAGGCAGTTGGCTAACAAATGTTGAATGAAAAATTGCCAAAGCGGTCTCTAAAAGGAGCTGAAGTCTCCTAGGGAAGCGTAGAAGACGCTTAGGTCCCGTGAAGGTTGCAGCATGCCCGACTGGCTGCTGGCGAGGCGGCGGGAAGCCTCCCGGGTGGTGCCTGTGGTGTGGGCTGAGGTGCTGCCATCGCTCCCAGGCGCGGGTTTCTCTTTCGTGACTGCGTTTGGAGGCGCCTGTCTTGGCTCCTGAGACACCGGACAGTAATGATGGGTAGAGAGGTTTGTAACCTAGCATACGAGGTTGTTGG